TTGGACTTTTGAGAGATTCTCCGAATCTTGACCTAACTGCCCCAGATGTTGGACAATGATCATGTCTGCCCTCTTGGTTGGAAGTGCTTTTGTTCACTAGATATCCTTCGCGCGAATTTCTCTGTTATTCGAACAAAAAGTCATATGCAAACAATGTTATATTAAAAATGCAAGGCTTATGTCTGTCTTGAAGTTTTTGAAAATGCAATTTTTTCATAAAAACAAGTGAAATTTTTTTTTGTAAACTGTGATGTCAACTCGTTATTTTACCGCAAGCCCTAAGGAGTCAGGATACCTTTGGTAACAGTATGCTTTCGAACTAACCCATGCTTCAGCTAGGACTTTTAAAGGTTGTAGCATGGTCTGGTTCACGATTTAAGAAACAAATGATAAGGCTCAAAATTTATTTGTACCCACCCGCTCTTCGTGATGTTCTTCAAACCTAAACTCAGCTGATCGTGCGTTAGACCTTGTTTGAGTCTTTGTCCTGATATTCCAGTGATGGTTCGGATATTGACAATTTATTTTGAACAGGCAGTCATTTCTTTTTGTTGAGGGTTTGTGTGACCTCTTTCTTTTTGATTTTATTATCCCTATTTTTTGCCTGAACTGTTCCTTTTTGTGATTACAGTCAGCGGGATGCCCCAGTTTTTGTAAGTCTCCTTCATAGGTTCTGACTTGTTGGGCTTTTATTTTGAGAAATGATGACTGCCTGTCTTTATGATCATTCAGAACTATCACTGTCTTTTGTTTTGTAAGGACTTTTTTGGCGCCATTTGTTGTGCACTTGGATCAACTGAGAGAACTACCCTGCCCCAGGTTATGATTAAGGGTTTTAATGAAAAGAAAAACTCCTACTTCTTTGGCTCAGAGGGGTTGACGAGGGATTATCTTCCTTATAACTCCAGTGTTTAGGAATTGAAACAATGCCTGTACCTCAGCAGCGGGGTTTGTTCAAAAGCATACTGTAGATTGTGGTATCGTTTTCGTCATCCTCCCTCAAGAGGCTTAGAATTATTAATCGAGCGTTAAACATCAAGAAAAAATAACATCAATTTTGAATATAGTGAACACAATTACTTCAAAACAGACACGCGTAATGCATTAATGAAATAATAGAGTTTGACATGATAATTGTTTGAATAAGCATATAAATACAATATCAGAATTTAAATGAAACAAAAGTCTCTCAATCCTAGCCATGTTTTGGCAAGGGAGCAGCGATCACGTTGGGAGTCTCGGCAGGCTCAAATTCGATTTCTTTGGCGTCAATCATGTTCTGGATCTTGTATTTCAGCGCCCAACGATCTTCAGTATCGTGCCCCGGGCTACCGGAATGATAAGCACACCTCGTATCTGGGTTGTAGCTTGGAGAAGAAGTCTTAGGATTTGCAGGAGGGTTGATCACCGCAATCATATTCATTTTCAACATGTGTTGCAATGCTTGTGACAACGGCATGTTGATGTTGGTGAATTGTCTTTTAGGCTCGCCTGGCCTTCGCTGATTTCCCTTTGGCGGTTGTCGGCGTGACGCAGAACCTGAGATCATGACTGCCCCTACATGTTGGTCACGACGATCCTTCTGACTGTACGCAACATTGGACTCTTTATTGAATGGTTTCTTCTCAGCGTTCGAGGAGTTACCCTTTTGTGTCTTCCCGGACTTGATACCAACTTCTATTCTCTCACCAGTTAGGATCAGATCTGTGAACCCAACAGAAGAATTCCCAATCAGATGGTTGAAGAAAGGACCAGACAGGGTCCCCAAGAACATGTCGACGAGTTCACGGTCAGTCAACGGTGGCTGCACCCTGCCAGCCAGGTCTCTCCACTTTTGCGCGTACTCCTTAAAACCTTCACCAGTCCCCAGTGACATACCCTGGAGTTGGGTACGCGTAGGAGCGAGGTCGGCATTATACTGATACTGCTTATAAAAAGCAGTTGCCAAGTCCTCCCAGTTACGAATACTGGTTCCATTTAGCTGATAGAACCATTCGAGCTGAGTCCCTGAAAGACTTTCCTGGAAGAAATGGATCCATAGATTCTTGTCTGCCGTGTAGGGCTGGATCTTCCTTGCGTATGAACGGATATGCAGCTTAGGACAGGAAGCCTCGTCGTACTTTATAAAGGCAGGTGACTTGAACTTGTGAGGGATCACCACCCCAGAAGATAAACCTAGGTCTCCAAAGTCCAACCCAGGTACACGTTGAATCTCCATAGCATTTAACCGGTCCTCCAACTGTTTGTACTTGTCCTCAGCAGGAGGGTACTGTTCATTATTGAAATCTGTCTCGATGTCAGAGACCACGGGACTAGGAACCCTTTCCTCTTGGTGACTGCCTTCCCCAACAGATGGAGTATTCCGCTCAGCTTCATTCTGCAGTGTATTCCCAGATCTGCGTCTAGGGTTGAACAAAACAGTCCTCTTCTTCTTTTTCTTCAAAAGCAGAGTCTTCAATTCCTGTTGTCCTTGGGCTAAGCTCATCACCAGCTCCTGGAACTGGGCGTTCTGGGCCTGGAGGGCCTTGATAGCTTGTTCATTAGATGATTCAGGATTCATGATGATGGCTGAAATAAACAGCGAATAAGATTAAGCAACTTGTGGAAGAGAGTACCTGTAATGCAATGATATGTATGTATGCATGCGATGTTTTCAAGGATCTCGCGGGGTAAACAGAGAAACTTGTTAGAATTTGAATTTGGGTAGCTTGATTGAAGGAACTTCATGTTGCTGAGAGTCCTTCTTCAAGAGTCAAGGCTCACCATATCGAGTGGGTCATAGCCCCTGACAACCTCGGCTAGAGGAAAATAAATCCCCTTTGCCCCTTGCTAGACAGTTGGTTCATCATGACCTGCATCACAAACCCTTGAGATCCTTGAAATGGATTAGTCCTTATGTAGGATGTATGCAATGGTATGATGTTATGCTATACGTGGAGTGATGTAAGTAAACCCTGTTATGAGTCCAGGTTAAGGACTGTAAACAAACCCTGCAAGAAACTCATGTGTTAGATAACAAGCATGCAAGTAGTCAAGAACTGACTGTTTTTGTAAGCTGGTTCGCGAAATGTCGCGGTAAGCAAGAGTCGCCACCGTCTTTTATGTTCTCCAATATGGAAAGGACAAAAGCACATCAAAATTCCTTATTCGAGATGTCTCTCGATTCGGGAGGTAGATTTATAGAAAGGGAAGGTGTTAGCACCATTTCTATCCGTGGTTATCCACGGGCTCTTAGGTACTTGCTCTTATGTTTTCAAAATTTGTTTGCTTTTCAAGTGTGTGTGGATTTTGAAAAAGTTTCGTTTGAAAAATTTCTAAGTAACTCTTGTATCTGTCCTCAAGAGTGTATGAAAAATTTGTTTGAAAACTTTTAGAAAGTGTGGTTGCGAAAAGTATTTTTGTTTGTTTTGAAAAGAACAAGTACTTCAGAGAAATCTACTGTTGTACCCATATTTTTGACCTAAGATCCCATTTTTATTTTTGCATTTTTTTAAGATAAGTCAAGGTCACGAAATAAGGTCGGTTTTAACGTCTCACCTTCGAGCTCTGGCTATGCGAAGATTGTCAAGTGTTTTGAACATCTTTAGCATATGTATCACTAATTTCTAATCGCATACAAAGGTGTATGTTCATGTTTTCTTTTGTGTCATGTGCAGAGACAGGTCTGAATCAAGAGCATCAGGTGTCGTGCCTCAATTAAGGTTTTGAGTCTCCCAAGCCAAAAGTACGGTTGATTATGGATTCTCGAAGACTGATTCATCAAGGCACACCGTTGCACCCTTAATTTCGCCCCTAATATGTTTTAGTCGCACTTTCGTATCATATCTTGTTATTTGGTCACAATCATTAGTAAATACCATTCATCACATTTTGCATCATTAGTCGTATTTAAGTTGACCAGAAAAAAATCAGTTTAAATCAAAGTTTGCATCGTCTTTCAGTTGTAAAATACCCGACATTTCATTTCATTCATTTTTATCTGTTTACTATTTTCTTGCACTGCTCCAAATTGTTTATATGTCGATAATAAAATATTTCGGTTTTATAGACAGACTGTTAAAAGCGATTCGACACTATGCGGGAAAGTAGCGAGAAAATATTTCAAGTTTTCACCTTTTACCGATCATTTTATGAATCTACGCTTCGCGTAGATTATGACGGTATGCTCGCTTTATTTTTTTCGGTACAGTTCGAAGTCTCGTTTTTAACCTTAAACGTCTGTTTAGTCTGATATTTTTATTATTATTTTATTTTTTATTTTTGACTTCTTGAATATTTTTTCTTTAATCTTTGTGACATGTAGATTATTTTAATGTGTTCATTTTATTTTTTCGGATAAATTTTCGTCCGTTTTTTATCATTTTCGGTCATTTTTGGTCTTTATTTTTTATTCATAAAATATTCAAAAAAAATCATTTTTAATTGAGTTAATTTTAATACATTTAGTTTTTTGGTTATTTTTACCATTTAAGGACTATTTGGTCACAAAAATATATTGATTACACTATACTATGCTCTCATTGGCTGTTAGCAAAAGTGGTGGATTGATACAAAAAAAAAACAAAAAAACTTACAGTAGCTCCTCATCTATTCTCTCTAAGCTCTATTCATTTTTCTCCTCCCAATTTCCTCCGTTCAAAAAAAACCCACACACAAAACCCCAGCTACAAACAGCAACACCAACTTTTAATCCAATTCTTTTCCTTTCCTTTATCTTTCACAACTCCTTCAACGCTAAAAAACTCTCACAACCACACATAACATAATTATAACAAAAACATTAAATGCTTTGTTTTTGTTGTTTATGTTGGTCTTGAATCCTAATTTACTGTTTCAATTCAACCAAACAACTCAAACAAAACCCAACATAGTCACATGAAGAAAACAAAACCACTGGACACCAAACATCGCACACCTGCAGAGAAATTATTTTTGCTGTCTTCTTTAGTCAAGCAAATTGTTCATTCCATTCAATCCCATTCTCTCTCTTCCAATTCACCATGTATTTCCATTACCGCATCCATGGCGTTCTTCTTCTTGTTCTTTTCTTTCTCTCAATTTTCTCTTCTTCTTCTTCATCAACGAGTCAAATCAACTCCAACTCAGTTCTAGTAGCACTTCTCGACTCACATTACACTGAACTCGTTGAACTCATTGAAAAAGCTATGCTATTACAAACACTAGAAAACACTGTTGCAACCCACAATATCACCATTTTCGCACCAAACAACGAAGCTCTTGAACGTAATCTCGACTCCGATTTCAAACAGTTTCTTCTCGAACCCGGTAATATCCATTCTCTCCAAACTCTCTTATTATCCCACGTCATCCCAACCGGAATCGTAACCGGCTCGACCCGAAACCAACACCATCACCAACACAAGACCCTCTCCAATCATAATCTCCACCAGCGACCAACCGCGCCCAGCCATAGTTCCGGTCTGAACAATGTCTCTGCCGCGACGCACACCACCACTATTTCCGGTCACCAACACAAACGCCAGCCACCATCGCAACTGACTGCAACTCCATGGAAAGCCCCTCAGTGATCTGTAACAACCGTCACTACAGTGCTTCTTGACTCTGATCAGAAGCTCGCCATGCCACAACCCACTCCGCTAGAAGCCACTCCAATGCCAGATCTGCGCCCCTTTCGCGCCGTTCATGCCCAACATCACTACCACCTCCCATTCAGATCTCAATCATTGTCGACATCTTGATGTTACCAGCCGAAGCACCCCGCCGCAGTATCGTCGATGACCATCTCCATAGGCAACAATTCATGTTTGAATTTTAAGTTTTTGGGATTTGATTTCATGTATTTGAGTTTGTTGGCATTATTGTGTTTGTGTTTTGGAAAAACATAGGAAATAAAGAATGACAATGAAGTTATCTTCTCACTCTCCGTGTGCCTATGCATATCATTTGCCTTTTTTGTTTTGTTTATTGTGCGACATGTGGCAGCCTGTCATTGGGCCAATAAAAAACTGAAAAAATAGTTGAAAGGTAAGAATGGGACGCTGCCCATGAAGTTGTTGTTGGAGTTGTTTTGTTCTACTTTATTAATTCTTATTCTAATTGTTTACTTAATTCTAGATTAGGGTTTGAATTTGGTTTAGGCTTGGGCCCTAATTTCTACTTCTTATTAACCAAGTCTCATTACACCCCTTTTTTCGGTTTGATACCCCCATGCTATTTATTTTAGTTTTATTTCCTTAGTTAAATTTATTTAAATTAGGTTAGTTAGTTTCTTAGAAAGAAACATGTAGTTTCAATTAGACAAATTTTAATAATTTTAGTTTAGAATTATTTTAGTAATTTTAAGTTCATTTAAGATTATTTTAGTAACTTTAGAATTATTTTTAGTTATTTTAGATTTAACTTAATAACTTTAGAATTTTAATTTAGTTTATATCTAATTTAGTAATTTTAGAATTATTCTTTATAACCTTAGAATTCGTAATTAGTTCAGAATTATTTTAGTAAGTAATCTTAGAATTTTAATTTAGATAATTGGTTCCATTCTCTTTTAAATATCTTTGTCATTTTAATTTTTTTTTTGGGGTCTTTCGATTTATTTCCTTGTGAATTTTCGAATGTTCATATTTTGACATCCATTTTATTTTGTTCGTCCGTCTAAACTCCAAGGGAAAGAATTAAATTTGTTGACTTCATGTCACCGAACATATCTCATACGATTGCGCGAACCCCTTCATTCATTTTTTTTGCTTGTTTACTATTTTGCTAAACTTAAGATAATTTTCCCAAAAGACCCCATTTTCAAACTCACACCTTTTAAGTCAAAACTTCGACACTAGGTCGTCGTATCTTAAAAAAAATCTCGTCCATACCCATCTTTTAGCCAAACGAATCATTTTAATCAAACAAACAATTTTAAACCAAAAAACAGATATTTCAAAAGGTTCCTGCAGAGTACCGCAGATGCACTGGGTGCTAATACCTTCCCATTGTATAACCAACCCCCGAACTCTCGATCTCTTTTAAAAACGCATTGTATTTTCATTACTTTTAAATATTATTTTACATTGCATATTTTAGGGTTTTATTTCGCTCTTTTCCCTTTTTCCCTTGGAAATAATAAAGCGCGGTGGCGACTCTTGCTTTTTGTCAGTCAAGTTAATTAATAGCTTGATCTCCGATTTTCACCGCTACAGAATTGGCGACTCTGCTGGGGAAAGATTGACCTCTTACTGGTCCATCCCTAAGTGGGTTAAGCCTAGTTTGTTTTATCTGTTTTATCATTATTTGATTGTTTGATTATATGTTTATATTGTGGTTATTTGGGTTTTTGCAAAGGACAAGTCCTATACCCGGAATAAGTTACACTTAGGAATAGGACGGGCGGTATAGTCATGTTAACTTTGAGGGAGTAATCCTGAAGAAGGAGGCATGAGATCCCCCACTCAGTGGAAGGCCCTTTTGAACGTAATATTTGTTTACCGAGTAATCGGGAAGACATTATTATTTTCGACCTGGGAGCCAGAGAAGCTGGGAACCGTAGAACCCTAACCCATCTTAGCCTTTTAGGTGTAGCGCAGAGATTATAACGGAGTAATCCGGAAGTAATTGTTACGCGATGCTACGCTCGGATGAGTTTCTCTTGAGAATATTGCTGATTATTGAGTAATCAAGAAGTTGGTAATATCCGAAGGAGGAATGTAGACTTCGGGAACTCTTAGAACCTTATTCTATAGGTGTGATTAAACCGTTAGTACATACCTTGGGGGTGTTCCTTACCTTGACTCCATGCTCGTGACGTTGAACCTTTCGACTTTATTTGTGACCTTTCTTGTGGTTGTTGCATAGCCATGCATCCATAAAACCCTTTTCACTTGACTTTGAAGGAATTTGGAGGTCTTTCTTTGTAAACATCACAAGTTTCGTCAAGCTCAATGGATCTTGGGTGTTGATAGGGCGAAAACCCTAATCCACCAAAATGGATGATTGATCTTGACGATAACTTGATCAACAATTGGAGCCAATTTAAAATTCATCTTCTATCTTCATACTTGGATGTTTACAACTTAATATCTTGAGTTCCTTGAAAATCAAATAAAAATTCTCTTTTGCATATCATACATCATTCTACATTTTTTTTGTTTCACTTTCAAAGGTCTTTTTCCGAGTCTTATTTTTCCTTTGGTCTCACCAGTACAACACTCGCGCTAAGAGAACAATGGAGAATATCAAGCAAGAGGTTTTTGAACTCCGTAGAGAGATGACTATTTTGAAAGCTAGTATGGAGCACTTAACTGGTTTGGTTGAAATTCTGGTTGCCGCCCAAGTCAATCCTTCTAGGAGGAAGGAAGCGATGATAAAAGTCTTCACTGAAACTCTAAAACCATTCTCTCATGAGAAGGTGATGGTTAATGCACCTAATGACTTTCCTGACAAGGTGAATGTGGGAGTGCGTCTAGAAGAAGATGTTGGGAAGGGATGTTCATATGAAGATGGTAGCTCAACTAATGGTGTGAAGAAGTTTGATAATGACTTTTCCAAGAAGAGAACCAGAGGAAGAAATAATCATCATCAGAATCATCATGTTTCTCCCATTTATCAACAGAATCAGCAAGTTCCTAATCAGAGGAAAACTCAATTTGATCCAATTCCAATCACCTATACAGAGTTGTTTCCTATCCTGATGCAGAGGAATTTGGTTCAGACCCGACCTCCACCGAAGGTTCCTGAGAAGATACATTGGTACTACAAAGCTGATTTGACATGTACCTTTCATCAAGGTGCTCCTGGGCATGACTTGGAGGGTTGCTTTGCTTTGAATATCGAGGTTCAGAAGTTGGTCAGAAGTGGTATCTTGTCATTCAAGGACGTTGGTTCTGAAGTTCAAATCAAGCATGTGCCGAAGAGTAAACATGATTGATGATCACTTTGAGTTTTGAGTGATGTTTTCGATAATTCAAGTCCAGATGGAAAGCCTTCCTAGATTATTAACTTATTCATGCTTTTTGTAATTTTTCTTGTTTATCAAAACATTGTTTGCATGTAAGAACTTGTTTGCATCTGAATGATTATCTTAATACAACGAGTATGTTTGTCTTGAAGAAATTCATTCGTTTCACTCATATTTGTTTTCAAATTTTAAATTTCTTTTGGCATTATGATACCAAATTATTGCTCATTCTCTTGCCTAGGCAGAGATTGAAGGGAGGATGATGATCTAAAGAACACAAGATCTCTGGTTGTTTGCTTTTGGATAAAATCTTGCTGATGATGTACAGGCATTGTTTCAAATCCCTAAACACCGGAGATATAAGGAAGATAATCCCTTGCTAACCCCTTTTGAGCCTTTGAAGCAGAAGTTTCTTTTCTATACGAAAAAACCTTGAATTTTAACCTGGGGCAGAGTAGTTTTTAGTTAATCTGACTGAGTGTTCAAAATTCATAAGGAAGATGTTTTTTGAAGAGAAACTACGAGGGCTATCCTTCATGTATAATGAATCTAGAGGATGTGGAACCATAATGTTATCCCTCATTCATTAAGAAACGAGGCAATCACAATCCTCTCAACAAGCAAAGACAAGCTAATGTCACACATTTTGTTCAAAAATCAAAAATCAAGAAAAAGAAAAAGCCTGCTAAGTCAAAAACATGAAAACTTACGACTTAGGCAAAAACTAAGGCATCCCGCTGGACTATCAATTCAAAAAAAAATTAGTTCTGGCAAAAATTAGGGAAAATAAAAATTGCAAAGAAAGGACTACAAAGAAAAGTCCTCAGCAAAGAGCAAATTGGTAACTACAAACACGAAGACACGAGGGTGGTTTCTACTCCGAAAGCCTCGTCGTTTCCTTGACCGTCACAAAATCCTTTTGAGAGATGAACACTCATGTTGAATTAACTGAACATAGGGTTGGAGAACATCATGAAGAATGGGTGGGCACCAAATATTTTGAGCCTTAAAATCTTTTTTCTAAAAACCATGAACCAGACCACGTTACAACCTTCAAAAGTCCTAATTGAAGCAAGGTTACTTTGGAAAGCATACTTCAATGAGATAGTGTTCCTGACACCCATGAATGTTTGCTAAATACTTATGTTGGTATCATATGTTTTTTCCGATACAAAAATAAATGATGCTCTAACTCGCAAAATTTGTGCGATATCTTTCAAAATCTTCAAGACTTACATAACTGTTGCATTAGAATTTTCATTCTCATTGTAAACTTTTTCTAACTGCAAAATCATTTGTTTGATATCAAGGAAGCTCATATAAGCACCAATGATGAGTCTATTCTTAAGGCCTGAAGCTCTGTTGAGTAATTGGCGGATCACGTCAAGAAAAAATCATATCCAGGGACGTGTCACATGAAGACCTTAAGCACGAACATGTTGCTCCTCCCAGTTAATGCTTTTCCCGACTTGTTTGCTCGTTTGGGGCAAAAATTCGAAAACTTTGTGGTGCCGACTACAGTCAATCCGGGGCAATCACGTCGAGATTTGATGAATCTCTCTAAGAGTTTGAAGACACCAGAGCATGGTGAATGCCAGGTCTTTTGTAAAATCCTCTTGAGATTATTTCTCCTCATCAACCCTATAGCTTGGGGCATTTTAGAAGTGAAGTTATTCGCAAGAATTGTCGTGCATCACGCAGCTTATCAGCAGTAAACTTGGGGCATCCAAAATTAATCCCAGGGGCAATCCAAATTTGTCAAGATATATTTTTCATACATTATCAGAGGGT